AGAAACAGGGCCGAAAAACGAGAAGCTTGGAGAAGGACTGTCAAGCCCCAGAAGGGACCGGAAGACGACAGACATTCCAAGAATATGGGAAGAAGCAAAACCTTCCCGATACTAGTTTTTTACATATTTTTTCAATATTTCTGATAAGTTTTTCTCATTTTTTGCACTAAAGTTATTCAATAGTGTGTGTTTTGAGTAATTTATATGGTAAAATATGTAGAACATCGGAATCCTCATATATATTCATGTTAATAATATGCATCTATATTATTTACTTGGAAAAATACAACCTGTTATTTTTGGTGTTATTATACTGCATACACAATTTTTATACAACTATGAATATTGACTTCCACGATTATGAACCACCAAGCTGTTGTGGTGGGTGTGGTAAAGACAGTCTACCACACACACTACCTGTGCCAGCAGCAGGCTGTGCCAGCAGACTGTACCAGCAGACTACCAGCAGGCTGTGCCAGCAGACTGTGCCAGCAGCAGGCTGTGCCAGCACTGTACCAGCAGACTGTGCCAGCAGACTACCAGCAGGCTGTGCCAGCAGACTGTGCCAGCAGCAGGCTGTGCCAGCACTGTACCAGCAGACTGTGCCAGCAGCAGGCTGTGCCAGCAGACTGTACCAGCAAACTGTGCCAGCAAACTGTGCCAGCAGACTGTGCCAGCATAATGTACCAGCAGACTGTTCCAGCAGACTGTGCCAGCATAATGTACCAGCAGACTGTGCTAGCAAACTGTACCAGCAGACTCTGCCAGCATACTGTGCGAGTAGAATGTGCCAGCAAACTGTGCCAGCAGACTGCCAGCAGACTGTGCCAGCAGACTGTGCCAGCAGACTGTACTAGCAGACTTTGCCAGCAGATTGTGCCAGCAGACAGTGCCAGCAGACTTTGCCAGCATAATGTGCCAGCAGACGGTGCCAGCAAACTGTACTAGCAGACTGTGCCAGCATAATGTACCAGCAGACTGTGCAAGCAGCAGACAGTGCCAGCAGACTGTGCCAGCCAACTGTGTCAGCAGTAGACTGTGAGAGCAGACTCTGTCAGCAGACTGTGCCAGTAGTCTGTGCCAGCAGACTGTACTAGCAGACTTTGCCAGCATAATGTGCCAGCAGACTGCGCCAGCAGACTGTGCCAGCATAATGTACCAGCAGACAGTGCCAGCAGACTGTGCCAGCAGATTGTGCCAGCAGTAGACTGTGAGAGCAGACTCTGTCAGCAGACTGTGCCAGCATAATGTACCAGCAGACTGTGCCAGCATAATGTACCAGCAGACTGTGCCAGCAGACTGTGCCAGCATAATGTACCAGCAGACTGTGCAAGCAGCAGACTGTGCCAGCAAACTGTGCCAGCAGTAGACTGTGAGAGCAGACTCTGTCAGCAGACTGTGCCAGTAGTCTGTGCCAGCAAACTGTGCCAGCAGCAGACGGTGCCAGCAGCAGACGGTGCCAGCAGACTGTGCCAGTAGACTGTACCAGCAGACTGTGCCAGCAGACTGTACCAGCATAATGTACCATCAGACTGTTCCAGCAGACTGTGCCAGCAGACTGTACCAGCATAATGTACCATCAGACTGTGCCAGCAGACTGTACCAGCATAATGTACCAGCAGACTGTGCCAACAGCAGACGGTGCCAGCAGACTGTGCCAGCAGACTGTACCAGCAGACTGTGCCAGCAGACTGTGCCAGCAGACTGTGCCAGCAGACTGTGCCAGCATAATGTTCCAGCAGACTGTGCTAGCAAACTGTAATAGCAGACTCTGCCAGCAGACTGTGCCAGTAGAATGTGCCAACAAACTGTGCCAGCAGACTGTACCCGTAGACTGTGCCAACAGCAGACGGTGCCAGCAGACTGTGCCAGTATACTATGCCAGCAGACTGTGCCAGCACACTGTGCCAGTAGACTATGCCAGCAAACTGTGCGAGCAGACTGTACTAGCAGACTTTGCCAGCAGACTGTGCCAGCAAAATGTACCAGCAGACTGTGACAGCAGACTGTACCAGCAGACTGTACTATAAGACTTTACCCGCATACTGTACCAGCAGACTGTGCCAGTAGACTGTGCCAGCAGATTCCGCCAGCAGACTGTGCCAGCAGACTATGCCAGCAGACTTTTCCAGCAACAGACTGTGTTAGCAGACTTGGCTAGCAGCAGACTGTGCCAGCATCAGACTGCGCCAGCAGACTGTGCCAGTAGACTATGACAGCAGACTCTGCCAGCAAACTTTACCAGCAGACTGTACCAGTAGACTGTGCCAGCAAACTGTACCAACAGACTTTGCCAGCAGACTGTGCCAGTAGACTGTGCCAGCAGACTGTGACAGCAAACTATGCCAGCAAGCTTTACCAGCAGACTGTACCAGTAGACTGTGTCAGCAAACTGTACCAACAGACTTTGCCAGCAGACTGTGCCAGCAAACTGTGACAGCAGACTGTACTAGCAGACTTTGCCAGCAGACTGTGCCAGCAGACTGTGACAGCAAACTATGCCAGCAGACTGTGTCAGTACACTGTGTCAGCAGACTGTGGCAGCAGACTGTGTCACCAGACTGTGCCAGCTTAATGTACTAGCAGATTGTACCAGCATAATGTACTAGCAGAATGTGCCAGCAGCAGAGTGTCCCAGCAGACTGTACCAGCAGACTGTGCCAGCATAGTGTACCAGCAGACTGCCAGCATAGTGTACCAGCAGACTGTGCCAGCATAGTGTACCAGCAGACTGTGCCAGCAGACAGCGCCAGCAGACTGTACCAGCAAACTGTGCCAGCAGACTGTGCCAGCAGCAGACTGTGCCAGCAGCAGACTGTGCCAGCAGCAGACTGTGCCAGCAGACTGTACCGGCAAACTGTACCAGCAGACTGTACCAGAAGACTGTACCAGCAGACTGTGCCAGCAGCAGACTGTGCCAGCAGCAGACTGGGCCAGGAGACGAAACAAAAGGAGTCACAAGGTACTACACACATTACTAATTCTCGGCACAATGTTATTATTACCAGCAATCTGATAACAACAGTGTGTAAATTAATACAGTTAAATAAGACCATGTGTGTGTGTGGACCATTTGTATACTACAAAATATTGTGTGTCTGCATATTAGTGATACAATTATTATACTCGTATTCATAGGAAAATAAGTGTTTTTGCTGTTATTATATTGCATATATATATATATATATATATATATATATATATATATATATATATATATATATATATATATATATATATATATATATATATATATATATTATATATATATATATATATATATATATATATATATATATATATATATATATATATATATATATATATATATATATATATATATATATATATATATATATATATATATATATATATATACACACACACACTAGCTGTACCCGGCCACGCGTTGCTGTGGCTCAGCAACACATGTGCGTTGCTGAGCCACAGTAACCTTTCCCCGTTTCCCGGGCCTCCCCACCATTCCCTCCCCTTCCCCTGTCCCTCGTCTTCCCAACTCCCCGATCCCCTAGTCCTCCCCACCATTCCTCCCTCCCCGGTCCCTTTGTCCTCCCCACCATTCCCCACTCCAGCGTCCCCGTCCTCCTCCTATCAATTCCCCATTCCACTGTACCCTTGTCCTCCCTACCATTCCCTCTTCCCTCGTCCGATGCATTCTCAAATGATCTGATGTTCCCATCAGAAAATTGGGAACATCAAATGGTCTGATGTTCCCTTCACTGAAATATAAGAAAAACAGTTAACAAATGAAAAGAAAAACAATGAAAAATAAAAAAAAAGTAAACTATTCTCATGAAATTAACGGTATGGTAAACAACACAGCTTAATTTCAAAGCAATGTCACACAGAATAATTAAGTCAAAATGAAAATAAATCGAAAACTATGAAAATTCAATTTATCAATGAAATCGGAAACATTGAATTGGAAACATATTTAGTATAGCTTCGATTGCTCTTACATTCAATAGATGGCGCTGTTTAAAAAAAATGTTTTTACCTGTCATAGGTGTGGCATCTATACTTACACTCACGAAATGAATGGTATGGAAAACAACACAGCTCAATTCCAATGCAATGTCACACAAAATAATTAAATCAAAATTAAAATCGAAATCCATGAAAATTCAATTTGTCACTTCAATTGGAAACATTGAAATGGAATTGTAACATGTTTAGTATAGCATGTGCTGCTCTTACATGCAACAGATGGTGCTGTTTCTTACAAAAAAAAAAAAAAGAATGATTTTACCTGTCACAGATGTGGTACCTATATAATAGGTATATAAAAACATGCGCATATTCGAATGTAACGTTGTATCAGAATTTCAAAGCAATTGGTGAAGAACTTTGGGAGATTACAGCGTATATTGCTCCTACATCCAACATATGGCACTGTTCTTCAAAATATGCATGTTTTTTCCTGTCACAGGTGAGGCATGTATATAGTAGGTATATAAAAACACCTGCCTATTCAAATGCCACGTTGTATCAAAATTTCAAAGCAATCGGTAAAGAGGTTTAGAAGATTTCTCACATGAAAAACAGTTTAAAAAAAAAATCCGTCAAAGGCGTGATATCAATATAGTATGTATATAAATACCCTGCTCGTATGCAAACTGAACATTGTGTGAAAATTTCAAAGCAATCAGTGAAGAACTTTCGGAGATTAGCGATTTTTAACAAATGAACATTTCCATTTTTATTTATATAGATTATATAGGCTAATATTAACACCCCAACAATGCCATAGGCATATAATTCACCCTAACAATTTCATAGGTCCACACCCCAACAATTCTCTAGGCCAGTCCCCAACCGAACAATTCAATAGGCCCCAAACCTGAATATATAATTCACCCCAACAATTCCTTAGGCCCATGTCCACACCCTCAACAATTGTATAGGTCTATTTCCACACACCATCAATTGCATGTTGGGGTGTAAGACAATGGTGGAGCAGAAAGTACTCCAGTACTTACGGAGGATGATGAGAGTGCGAGGAACAAGGTGGTCAGGTGGAGCCAGTGACTCCTTCCTTCAACAGTTTTGTCTCTCCCTCGTGGTATATCCTCAATGTCTTCAGTGGTGTGGCCTCACCACACACTTACACTGCCATAAGTGTCCTGAGAGTACTGTGGGAGGGACAATTTGGCGGGTATTGTGGTCACAGGAGACCGTCTCTAAGACAGTGAGGAGCATCAGTGTTATCTTCTTCATGATGGTAGCTGCAGTTCTTATCAGAGTTGTTATCTTGTTGTTGGTGATTAAGTGGCGACATTGCTATCAGTTGAGGAGCGGCAGTGTTATCTCACGGGTCGTCGTCTACACCTCGTGTAGCAGCTTTCTTTTGTTGTGATGACGTCACTCGCTCGCTTACCCGCCATCTTGCTCCGTACATTTTCTTTGGTTACTGATCTTTCCCGAAACTGACTTTAATTTTATTTATTTATATACACAGGAGTTTATTTATTTATATATATACAAGAAGGTGCAATGGGTTTATGAGAGTACATAGCATTGATGTTTTTACATTCTTGTAAAGCCACTAGCACACACAACATTTCGGGCAGGTCCTTAATCAGATAATTTTAAAACACTTTCGGGTTCCACTGACTGACTATCTTGTCACTCAATCTTCTACTGAATAGGTTCCAACGACGCAGCACTGAATCACTCATTAA